TAGAAGGGGGGATTGAAAAGATTTGAGCTACGGGGGAAGGGGGGGGGGATTAGCATGGGGATTTGTGTTAAATGCGGGGATTTGTACTAGAAAGGAGGATTGGGGAGGTTTGGGCTAGGAGGAAGGATAGGGGGATTTATGTTAAGAAGGAGAACTTTGGGATGATTTGTGCTTGGATGGGAAATTTGAGGGGAAAGTGGATGTGTACATGGAGGGGTGATTTGCTGGGTAAGGGAGATTTGTGCTAGGAGGGGGGGGAACTGGGTGCTTTGGAGGCGGGTTTGGGGGGCAAAGATTTGTGCTGGAAAGGGGGTTTACACTGGAAGGAGGGGGAATTTTTGCATTGCTGTTTGGGGAGAATTTTGTCTTGCAGACAGAAGTTATGCTTAGGGGGAGCGTGCAGATTAGTGCTTTTTTATTTAGGGGGAGGGATTTATGCTGAGACAGGATTCTCACACATGGGGGGGCTTAGTTTGTCATGTTTGCCCTGGGAGCTAGATGGCCTTGTCCTGGTACCCCACGCACAGGGCAGTCAATAGATCTCCTCCTCCCTACACAGCACATAGCTGAGGTCAGATTCCCTTGCAGACACAGCCTCAATCTGCAGTGTATAGCTGGCTGCTATGTTGCACTTTTGACCCTGTCCTCTTCTCTTCTGACCTGTCCTCTACCCTGTTGACCTTCTGTACCCTGCCCTGATGACCCCTGTCCTCCATCCTGCTGACCCCCGTACACTGCTCTTCTGACCCCTGTCCTCTGTCCCCTTTTCTCTGCCCTACTGACCCCCTTTTTTCTGCCCTACTGCCCTGTCTTTGCCCTGATAACCCCTTTCACCCTGCTGACCCGTTATCTCGTCTGTTGACCCCTGTCCTTTGCCCTGCTGACTCCTAGCTTCTGCCCTACTGACTCTTGTACATTCCCCTGCTGACCTCCCATTCTCTGCCTGCTGACCCCTATCCTGTACCCTACTAAATCCCTGTATACTGCCCCACTGACTCTTATACACTTCCCTGCTGACCTCCAGTTCTCTGCCCTGCTGACCCCTATTTTGTGCCCTACTGACTGCCTGTACACTGCCCTAAGGACTCTTGTACACTTTCCTGCTGACCTCTCATCCTCTGTCCTGCTGACTCCTGTATACTGCCTTGATAACCCGTTGTAAACTGCCCTACAAACTGCTTTCCCTATCTCTCTGCCCTGCTGGCCCCCTGTACACTGCCCTACTGACTTCTATACACGGCCCTGTTGACCTTACATCCTCTGCCCCCCTGATATTTTTTACTGCACGCCCACATTAGACAGACTAGATCTGGCCCTGTTCGGTAATCTTCTAGTGCTGCATCGGTTACCAGAGCCGAGGGGCCTGTTATATGCACTCATTAAACAGTGACTATGCATGCCCTTTCCACCCTTCTTGTCCATTTATAGAAGCCGTTCTATAAGTTATACGAATGAAAAACATTCCATGAATGGAGGAGGTGGATGTTTCATTCATCTGCCAGTCCTCCATTCATAGACTGCTTTTTAGTCATAGAAGCTATAGTACGGCTTCTACGAATGAAGGGGGGAAGCGGAAAGGGCATAGTTGAAAGAGATAATTAAACCAACAGAGGGGGGAAAACTGTAAAGTGGATGGGATACCCAAATCTGTGGCTCATCAGATTCCACCTGTTTGGTGAAATATCACTTTTGGGCGGGACTAACTCTTTAATACCGCAAGGTTCATCGCACATGCAAAGCACACAATTGCAGCTCGCTGGTGCAGGGTTTAAGGAGTTAAAACAGGCAGTGAGGAGGTGATACAGCACCTCCTCCCCACCTGTCAAATACTCTCTGAAGAGCGATCATTCAAGGAGCAAAGCACCTGTGAATGAGCCCTTAGAGGCACATTTGGCCTTTGACTCAGCCCAACGGGAAACACTTTGTCCCCATCAGTGGGTGTGGGGAGAAAAACAGATTATTCTAGTGATTAAACAAAGATGGTTACCTACCTCTGGTGATCTCTGGAGGAATTTCCACCTCCACACACTCATCACCCCTCACAAACAACTCATTGTTTCTCACGTACATCTTAATGTCCACCACTATCATCAGGTAGAGAATGAGTCTTTTTGAATACAATAAGTAAGAAGTGTTGCAGAATGATATTGCTAATCTCAGATAGTATAATGTGCTATAATTTTTGTAGCACTACTCTCTTGAGAGCCGCTGGATTTTTGGGTCCCGCTAAGCCCTGCACACCTAGGTATGTCCTAGATTGTAAGCTCTCCAGGCCGTCTATTTCCTCTTGTACCAAATTGTATTGTAACTGTAACTTGATTGTACCTTCATTTTGTAAAGCGCAAACTATTGCCACTATATAAATCCTGTATAATAATAATAATAACATGCATTTTCCACACTTTTTTGCAGCATCAGTAAAACAGTCCTTGAGCTTGATTTGTTGTTTTATTTAAGTTAGTTGGGTATTGCACCTGACTGCCCTCTCCCTTTTGTGGTCCAAGAGGTGTAGAAGGACTGTCCCTTTCCTGTAGCATAGTAGGTTGCAGTTGCCTTCAGGTCTTATTCTGGGCTGGCTCCTTCCCTACTCTCCTCCGAAGTGGACAGCCTTCTGTCTACTCCAGCCTGTAGGTAGGCCCCCCCTCCCAGGCTCCACGCTCCAGCACCTCCCTTCAGTCCATCTTCCACCTGACTTCAACAACTCCCCTGCTGCTCAGGCTCTCTCACATTTAAGGGTTGTCCTAGACACCATGCCAGGCCTCCTGCCTGGGGATTGGCCTGGTTCCCTTAAACATGCAAATCCAGGCCTCCTCCCCTCTTCTAGAAAGTTCCAGCAGTCTCTAGAAGGTTGGGAGGGCTCCAGAAGCCCTGACTTGAACCTCCCAGCCTGTCCAGAGGTGACCTCACTACCTCACTCCCAGGCTGACTCATCCCAGGCTTCTAACAATCCTCTGTCTCACAGTAAAAATCCTAGCTACCTAGAGGACGCTACATAATTTTTATCATTTAGAATGAAAATCTGATTACCAATAAAGTTGAAATAACAGAAGAGCCATCTGTGAGGGGTGATGAGCCATGTAAGGAAGAACTCCATGAAGAGATCATTATGGGTAATAAACACTATTCATATAAAAATTATTTGTAATAAACACTTTATATATAATAATCTATAAAATATTTGATAGATAATTTCTGCTTCCTCTATAATCTTCACGTCCGTTTTCCTCCTCCTTAGCTTGGACAACTTTGATGTTCATGGGGTTTGTGAATAATCATGAAGCCCCCCTGCACTGAGATGTATGAGAGACCCCAGAGAGTGTGTGTGTGTGTGGGGGGAGACTGGTCACGTCTCTTGGCTGGTAACACATAATGACATAATGTGAGGAGAGCCAGAATCTAAAGGTTTGTCTTCATGGGTGTCTAATGTTTATTACTACCAGTGGGATGAAGGCAAAACGCTTCCCATAAATAGTGCAAAAATTGCTCGTTGCAATGAAGTAGATACAATGGTTGATACAGTAGTAGTAGTTACAAATCAGATACGATGGTTGTGGCTGAACAAGGAAACTGGGACCCATTTCAGCATTAGTTTATTACTCACCTATGTTGATATCTGGAGGAATTTCCTCATCCATACATGGGTCACCCATCAAACACATCTCATCTGCCTTCTCTTTATTCTTCACATGTCCTTCCTCCTCCTCCTCCTTAGATTTGATATCTCTCTGAGTCTCTCTGGTGCCTCCGGGATCTGTGAATAAAGATGAAAGTGAAGCCCCCTGTACTGATATGTATGAAAGACCCCAGAAAGTGCGTGTGGAGGGGGAGACTGGTCATGTCTCTTGGCTGGTAACACACAATGCCATGATGTGAGGAGGAGAGCCGGAGTCCAAATGATTATCTTCATGGGTGTCTAATGTTTATGACTACCAGTGGGATGAAGGCAGAACGCTTCCCATAAAAAGTGCTAAAAATGCTCTTCTTGCAATGAAGTAGATAACAATGGTTGATACAGTAGTAGTAGATACAAATCAGATACGATGGTTGTGGCTGAGCAAGGAAACTGTAACCCATTTCAGCATCAGAGTTTATTACTCACCTGTGCTGGTATCTGGAGGAATCTCCTCATCCATACATGGATCACCCATCAAATACATCTCATCTGCTTCCTCTTTAATCCTCACATGTCCTTCCTCCTCCTCAGATTTGAACGCTCTCTGAGTATCTCTGGTGTCTCCAGCGTCTGTGAATAAAGATGAGAGTGAAGCCCTCTGTACTGAGATGTATGAGAGACCCCAGAGAGTGTGTGTGGGGGGAGACTGGTCACGTCTCTTGGCTGGTAACACACAATGACATGATGTGAGGGGGAGAGACAGAATCTAAAGGTTTGTCTTCATGAGTGTCTTACGTTTATGACTACAAGTGGGACGCAGGCAGAACGCTTCCCATAAAAAGTGAAAAAAATGCTCTTCTTGCAATGAAGTAGATACAATGGTTGATAAAGTAGTAGTAGATATGATGGTTGTGGCTGAACAAGGAAACTGGGACCCTTTTCAGCATTAGAGTTTATTACTCACCTGTGCTGATATCTGCAGGAATCTCCTCATCCATACATGGATCACCCATCAAATACATCTCATCTGCTTCCTTTTTAATCCTCACATGTTCTTCTTCCTCCTCCTCAAATTTGACATCTCTCTCAGTGTCTCTGGTCTCTGTGAATAAAGATGAGAGTGAAGCCCCCTGTACTGAGATGTATGAGAGACCCCATGCAGTGTGTATGCAAGGAGATTGGTCATGTCTTATGGCTGGTAACATACAATGACAAGATATGAGGGGAAGTTGGAGTCTAACAAAGGCTGATGGCTCCTGACCCCTCACTGGGCACATACTGTCCCCCCATTACTGTCTACTGACAGAGGAGGGGGGAGAAGAAGAGATTGTTGTAGTGACTAAGGAGGATCTGGGACTCTTCTCTGGATTTAGTGTTTATTCCTCACCTGGGCTGATCTCTGGAGGGATCTCCTCCTCCTTACATGGCTCAAAGCCGGAGTCTAATAGAGGCTGATGGCTCCTGACCCCCCCACTGGGCACATACTGTCCCCCCATTACTGTCCACTGACAGAGGAGGGGGGAGAAGAAGAGATTGTTGTAGTGACTGAACAAGGAGGATCTGGGACTCTTCTCTGGATTTAGTGTTTATTACTCACCTGTGCTGATCTCGGGAATGGCCTCCTCCTTACACCGGTCATCACCGCTCACAGATAGCTCTTCTGGTTCCTTTTTTACTTCAACTTTAATGATAATCATATTTTCATCCTAAGTAAAAAAAAAAAAAATAGGAGAAAGTGGGAGACTGAAGGGTGTTGTAGAGCACTGTGGGAGATTCCAGGGCAGTGTGGGACACTGTAGGACAGGGTTTCTCAACCAGGGTTCCCTGAAACCCTAGGGTTCCTCCAGAGGTTTCCAGGGGTTCCTTGAGCAACGAGCAATATTCACCTCTCAGATAGGTTCCCGCTGACACCATTGATATATTTAGCTATCTATAAGGGGGTAATTCTTCTCAATGACCACAAGTGTAAGGAACATTGTTCCTACTGACCATCACAGGAATGTATCATGAGCTGTAGATACAGTAATTTTTAGCAGGGGTTCTCCGAGATCAAAAAGTCATTTTAAGGGTTTCTCTGTGTTGAAAAGGCTGAGAAAGGCTGCTGTAGGAGATTAGGGACACTTTGGAAAGATGGGGGCTCTGTAGAAGACTATGAAACACTGGAAGGGATTGAGGGGCACTGTGGGAGGTTGGAAGAGGGAGGCCATGGCCAGATGGTTTAGAACCATTGATATGTACTGTATTATTATCTGTTATTCAAATGACCCACACTCAAGCTACCTGATCTTCCTGAGGAATCTCGTGATCTTCCTGTGTGGAATCCCAGGAATACAGAGGACGAGGACAACTCTCTGGGGTATTTCTGTTACTGGATCCATGGTTACTGGATTATGTAACAAATGAGAAAGAACCCGATCCCATCTACCTGATCCTCCTGAGGGATCTCCTGATGTTCCTGTGTGGAGTTCCGGGAATACAGAGGATGGGGACATCTCTCTGGTGGGTTCCCATTACTGGATCCATCTGTAGGAAACACACACACTGACTGAATACATTGTTTCTATGTCTTTATATCAGAGGATGTGTGTATCTAGGTGGATCCTCAATACTCTTACCCGGTGATGTGAGCAACATCCGGTTCTCCATCATAACACCCTTATGTCCTTCTAAATACTCTCCAATGTATCTCCAAATCCGTACTTAGAATACCAGCTGCTTCATAATGTTTAAACTGCAATTGACCTATAAAGTGAAATCACTGTCAAGTCAATAATGAACGTGAAAACTTATATCGCATTTCTAAAACATCTGCCTAAGACCACGCAGCAATCGCGAGGTCGACGCTCTTCATGGAAGACTTCAGATACCAGTGGGATGTTGGGTGTGCATGTACCATCCACCTGCTCTTCGGTCTTTATATTTCCTGACAACACCAGAAACTTGTGTTGTGAAAAAAAAAAAGCCGGCTGTGAGACACTCCGCTGCATTACTAAAGTGGAAAAATAGAAATAGTTCCAAGAGACGATTCTTCTTGGGAGATTTCAGAAGTGGCTAAGACAGTAGACTTGTCTGACGGAGAATGGCTAGATCGGGGCACTGTCATCCCATGTCTATTGCTACACCTGAGTAGAATCAGGCATTGGAGATATTTTGGAAAAAGAAAATGGAGCTTTTTAATACAGGAATCCCTTTCAAATTCCTAACCACTTAGGTAGTCGTGTATGAAATACAGCCCCGGCACCATCACCCTAGAGGAGTGGACCATCCAATGTTCTCCACATCAGAGGAGTTGCAGGAAGATGAGGCTAAATGGTTAGCATTTAGCCTGGCAATACTCGGGTCATTGGTTCAAATACCAACCACAGCACCACCTGCCTGGAGTTTGCATGTTCTTCCTGTTCCTGTGTGGGTTTCCTCCAGGTATTCTGGTTTCCTCCCACATGCCAAAGACATGCTGGTAAGTGAATTGGCTCCTGTCTAAATTGGCCCTAGTATGTGTATGTATGAATGTAAGTTAGGGACCTTAGACTGTATGCCCCTTGAGGGTTAGGGACTGATTTGAATGTACTATATATATATATATGTATGTAAAGTGCTGTGTAAATTGATGGCGCTATATGCACTGATCACTGCATTGGTGTCACTGGGGTGTCAGTGACACCAAGTCAGTACCTGTAATAAATAAATGAGTGGAGGTGACATGATCCCCACACACAGTGCTGGGACCCCCTTCTCTCATAATAAGATCATTATTATTACCTCCTTCTCTCTAGGCAGACACTCTTCAGCATTACACCCCTTCAGAAGGATTCCTGAGCAAAAACTACCTCTCCTCCTCTGGTCTACAAAATGGCCGCTGATCCTTCCTGGACATTTCTTCCTCTTACACGGCAGACGATCGCCCTCTAGTGGCGGCTCTAGCTTCACACTGGAAGTAATGGTTCTATGTCGATGCACTGTCACTATGGCAACAAGGAAGCGGCTGGTCTGTGGAACGCATGGAGCGGAAGTGGGAGCAGAATAATGACAGGTGACAGAGCTGAGTAAAGGCTCATTTACACTTGCTTTGATTTCAACACACATTAAGGTGCCTACCGCTTCAGCGTGCTTTTTTGATGTGTTTTTGATGCTTCAGTGATGCTTTTTTTGACACTTTAATGAAGTTTGGCAAGTGCTCTGTGTGTGTGTGATTTTCTATTTGTTTTAAATAGGCCCAGTAGTACCCCAGCTGAGGAGTACCCCCAGCCAGCAGACAGATCCCCCGCTCATTAGTACCCCTGTTCAGATCCCCCCGCTCATTGGTACCCTTGTTCTGCAGATCCCCAGCTCGTTGGTACCCTTGTTCAGCAGATCCCCCGCTCATTATTATTATACAGTATTTATAAAGCGCCAATAGTTCGCTCAGCGCTGTACATTACAAAGGGGGACAGAACATATGACAGAACAATACCAATACAATGCAAAACATGAGGGGATCGAGGGCCCTGCTCTTTCGAGCTTACAATCTAGGAGGGAGGGGGTGGTGGCACAGGAGGAGATAGCTGTGGGGGATGGAGTGGTAGGAAGAGTGGAGGAGGTCGGCAAGTTAGCAGGGGGTGGGGTAGGCTTCCCTGAAGAGATGGGTTTTCAGGGTGCGCCTAAAGGAGAGGAGAGTAGGTGATAATCTGATGGGTTGGGGCAGGGAGTTCCAGAGGATGGGTGACACCCTGGAGAAGTCCTGGAGGCGGGCATGGGAGGAGGAGACCAGGGAACTAGAGAGAAGGAGGTCTTGTGAGGAGCGGAGTGTGCGTGCTGGGCGGTACTTGGATATTAGGTCAGTGATGTAGTTCGGGGCAGTATGGTGGACAGCTTTGTACGTCAGCGTTAGGATTTTGAATTTGATCCGTTGCGCAATCGGAAGCCAGTGGAGGGATTGGCAGAGGGGGGTGGCGGAGACAGAGCGGTTGGAAAGGTGAATGAGTCTGGCAGCCATATTCAGGATGGACTGAAGCGGGGATAGCCAGCGGCGAGGCAGGCCAGTGAGGAGGGAGTTGCAGTAGTCGAGTCGTGATATGATGAGGGAGTGGATGAGCTGTTTAGTGGTTTCTGGGTTTAGGAACGTGCGTATTTTGGAGATGTTGCGGAGGTGGAGTCTGCACGAGTTTGTTAAAGATTGGACTTGGGGCTGGAAGGATAGGTTGGAGTCCAGAATGACACCCAGTACTCTGGCCTGCAGGGTGGGTTTGATGGTAGCGTTGTTGGATGTGACGGAGAAATCAATGGGGGGTGGTGTCCGGGCTGGGGGGAAGACAAGAAACTCGGTTTTGGAGAGGTTCAATTTAAGGAAGTGGAGCGACATCCAGTCTGATATGTCGCTCAGTAGGTGTGTGATTCGGGCTGAGACCAAGGGGGTGAGGTGGGGGGTTGAGAGATAGATTTGTGTGTCGTCGGCATAGAGGTGGTAGTTGAAGCCGTGAGAGTGTATGAGTTGGCCAAGGGAGGAGGTATAGATGGAGAAGAGAAGGGGCCCGAGGACAGAGCCTTGAGGGACCCCAACAGAGAGGGGGAGTGAGTGGGGGGGAGGGTGGTAGCATTATAGGTAACGCTGAAGGAGCGTTGTGACAGGTAGGATGAGAGCCAGGAGAGAGCAGAATCTCTGAGGCCGAGGGAGTGTAGTTTTTTGAGGAGGAGGGGGGGTGGTCGACTGTGTCGAAGGCCGCAGAGAGGTCAAGGAGTAGGAGCACTGAATAGTGGCCATTAGCTTTGGCGGTTAGCAGGTCGTTGGAGAGTTTGAGTAAGGCAGTTTCGGTGGAGTGTAGGGGACGGAAGCCGGACTGTAGGGGATCGAGGAGGTTGTTGTCGTTGAGGTGAGAGCATAGGCGGGTGTAGACTAGGCGCTCGAGGAGTTTAGATGTAAATGGGAGCAGGGAGATGGGTCTGAGGTTCATTGGTACCCTTGTTCTGCAGATCCCCCGCTCATTGGTACCGTAGTTCTGCAGATCCCCCACTCATTGGTACCGTAGTTCAGCAGAACTGCAGCTTATTAGTATCCTTGTTCTGCAGATCCCCCGCTCATTGGTACCCTTGTTCTGCAGATCCCCAGCATATTTTACCCTTGTTCAGCAGCTCCCCCGCTCATTGGTAACCTTGTTCTGCAGATCCCCCGCTCATTGGTACCCTTGTTCTGCAGATCCCCAACATATTTGTACCCTTTTTCAGCAGATCCCCCCGCTCATTGGTACCATAGTTCAGCAAAACTGCAGCTTATTAGTATCCTTGTTCTGCAGATCCCTCACTCATTGGTACCCTTGTTCAGCAGATCCCCCGCTCATTGGTACCTTCGTTCAGCAGATCCCCCGCTCATTGGTACTCTTATTCTACAGAACCCCAGCATATTTGTACCTTGTTTTAGCAGATCCCCTCTCATTGGTACCCTTGTTCAGCAGATCCCCCGCTCATTGGTACCTTCGTTCAGCAGATCCCCCGCTCATTGGTACTCTTTTTGTTCTACAGAACCCCAGCATATTGTACCCTTATTTGCAGATCCCCAGCATATTTGTACCCTTGTTTAGCAGATCCCCCACTCATTGGTACCCTTGTTCTGCAGATCCCCCACTCATTGGTATCCTTGTTCAGCAGATCCCTTGTTCCGCTCATTGGTATCCCTCGCCTTGTACTTAGTTCAGCAGAACTGCAGCAGTATCCCTCGCTCATTGGTACCCTTGTTCAGCAGATCCCCCGCTCATTGGTACCCTTGTTCAGCAGATCCCCCGCTCATTGGTAACCTTGTTCTGCAGATCCCCCACTCATTGGTACCCTTGTTCTGCCCCAGCATATTTGTACCCTTGTTCAGCAGATCCCCCGCTCATTGGTAACCTTGTTCTGCAGATCCCCTGCTCATCATTGGTACCCTTGTTCTGCAGATCCCCAGCTTATTTGTACCCTTGTTCAGCAGATCCCCCGCTCATTGGTACCGTAGTTCAGCAGAACTGCAGCTTATTAGTATCCTTGTTCTGCAGATCCCCCGCTCATTGGTACCCTTGTTCTGCAGATCCCCAGCATATTGGTACCCTTGTTCTGCAGATCCCCAGCTTATACCTTTGTTCAGCAGATCCCCCGCTCATTGGTAACCTTGTTCTGCAGATCCCCCTGCTCATTGGTACCCTTGTTCTGCAGATTCCCAACATATTTGTACCCTTTTTCAGCAGATCCCCCCCGCTCATTGGTACCATAGTTCAGCAGAACTGCAGCTTATTAGTATCCTTGTTCTGCAGATCCCCCTCATTGGTACCCTTGTTCAGCAGATCCCCCGCTCATTGGTACCCTTGTTCAGCAGATCCCCTCTCATTGATACCCTTGTTCAGCAGATCCCCCGTATTGGTACCTTCGTTCAGCAGATCCCCCGCTCATACCTTTGTTCAGCGATCCCCCGCTCATTGGTACCTCTTATTCTGCAGAACCCCAGCATATTTGTACCCTTGTTTAGCAGATTCCCCACTCATTGGTACCCTTGTTCTGCAGATCCCCCGCTCATTGGTACCCTTGTTCTGCAGATCCTCCGCTCATTGGTACCCTTGTTCAGCAGATCCCCAGCTCATTGGTACCCTTGTTCAGCAGATCCCAGCATATTTGTACCCTTGTTCTGCAGATCCCTCGATACCGTAGTTCCC